CTTGTGTGCATGTGTGTGTGGCATCGTATTGTAAATCAGAAGCAAAGTGATCTAATTCGACGGGTAAACCAAATGTGTCAGGACAAAGTGAAATCAGTCGATTTCATTATTTTGACGAGCGCTTGGATTGATTTGACCACAGTGACAAAGATTATCTTTTGTTCTTCATCAGGTCTGGGATAGAGAGAAACGACTCGTTCTTCACAACGATGCCCCACGAATCTCTGCAAGAAAAAAGCGCCAAATCTCGACAAGGGAAGGTTTTTCTGTGGACGAAACACCAAGAAACCTATCCGGTGATCGGGAAACGCCTCAAGGGACATTCATATTTCGTGAGTGTCTGTTTCTATTTTGTTACGTCAGTTTTTAGTTTCTTACACGACTACCTGCTTTGTTACAAAAGTGTCTACTTTGTTTCGTGACTTTCTACTTTGTTACATACATGCAAAGAAAGAGGTTATAAATAGAACTAGAGGTCTTAGCTGTGACGTCACGAATGTCCAACTTGAGAGGCGCGCTGCCATTCCGGAGAGGGATAAAAGGCCAGTCGGTGCAAAGCAACACTTTTCGGTCATAGATTAATGATACTCTGCGAAGTCTTTTGATGTTGATTTCTCTTTCATGTGATTCGCTAAAAGTACTCATAGCGATTTTGGTGATTATTTACATCTTTAAATGAGCCAGATAATCTCCAAATAATGCAGATGGGGCCTTTTACATGGTGAGACCATACGAGTGAGTAAAATTCAGATATAATGAATGAGAAGGACCTGATGATCACTTCTTAAAACAAAAAACATAATTTTATTGATTTTTTTTTTGCTGTGCGTCTATATCTAGCACCGTTGACCACAACAAGAAGAGTGGAAAATAACAACGAGGGCCCACCAATCATGAAAGAAGAAGTTATCAAGGCTCTACGAAAGATGAAGAATGTGAAAGCTTCGTGACCTGAAAACATTACCACAGAGATGATTAAAGCTTTAGAAGACTTTGGAATCACCCCACTGACAAAACTTCTTAACAACATATATGCCACTGGGCATATTCCATCAGACTTGTCAAAATCTATCTTCATAGCTTTACCCGAGAAACCTAATGCAAACGATTGTAAAACTCATCGTACCATCAGCCTCATGAGCCACATAACAAAAATAATACTCAGAATAATTATGATGAGAATATAAAATAAAATTTTCCTAGAAATAGCCCAAGAACAAAGTGGATTCATTGAAGGCAAAGGCACTGTAAATGCCATATATGTCATCAGAACAACAATAGAACGTGCCCTAGAAGTTCAGAAAGATCTTCATTTATGTTTTATAGACTATACCAAGGCATTCGACAAAGATAGGCACGACAAGATCATTGACAGGCTGGAAGTCCTCAATATTGACGGGAAGAACTTAAGTATTATCAAGAAAATGTACTGGGATCAAACAGCTGCAATGAGAATAGAAAACGACATCAGCGAATACATACAGATTAAAAGAGGAGTCAGACAAGGACGTGTACTTTCTCCAGACTTGTTCTCCTTGTATAGTGAAAATATCATGAGACTCATAGAAGAAATGCCAGGTATCTCGATAGGGGGACAAAATATAAACAATTTAAGATATGCAGACGACACAGTCCTAATAGCAGAAAATGAAGATCACCTACAGAATATATTAAAAGTCATCGTACAAGAGAGTGACAACATGGGCTTAAGCCTGAACGTCAAGAAAACGGAAACAACGGTCAAAGCAGAAAAACTCCAACCCCAACATTCAATATCAAAATCAATGATACTACTCTCAAGCAAGTAAAACTTTTTTAATATTTGGGGACCATTATACGATCAAGTGGGATATGTCACACTGAAATTAAAAACCGCATTTGCACAGCAAATGCAACCGTCCACAAAATGAAACAGATACTCACATACATCAATCTGTCACTTGAAACGAGAAAAAGAGTACTGAAAAGTTACATCGAGCCAATCCTATTATACGGGTGCGAAGCATGAACAATCAATTAACAGCTGGAAAGAACAATTGTGGCGACAGAGTTGTGATTCATAAGACGCATGCTACGTATCCTATGGACAGCTAGAAAAACAAATGAAGAAGTCTTGGTTGAAGCAAATTGCAGAAGACAGCTTATGACGAATATAAGAAAGGCGACAGGCAAATTTCTTTGGACGCGCAATGCGGAAAGAAGCATTGGAGAATATTGTAACAACAGGCAATTTTGACGGAAAGAGAGGCAGAGGCAGACAGAGGGAAAAGATACTGGACAAGATGAAAACATGGCTAGGAGCAGCAAGAACAACAGACACCATTGCTTCAACGCAAGACAGAGTGAAGTGGAGGTTCATGACCGCCCACGCCAGTCGGCCAGTCGGCAAGGCACCGGATATGATGATGACCACAACAAAGCGCTCGTATCGACCCTCTGGAATCAGGAATGATAGAAGCTTCAGCTGCAACTCTAGTACACCTTCAAGGCTGGCTGAACGGAAAAGAACCACTGTCGATGTTGTTGAGATGACAGAATGTAAAGTCGCCAATCAGGCGTAACAACCCACCATAAGACTGGCGTAGTATTCTGTCTCATTTGCGGAACCGGTTCCAAACGGCATGTGCAACAGCAGCAGCAGGGGTTCATGGAAGAATGGGTGTTGTGTAGCCAAATACCATTGCCAGTCAACGCCAATTTTAGAAAAGATAAAACCGATATTTATCAAAGTGTTGCATTTTAAAATGTTATCAGTATGTCATTATTTGTGCACGATATTAAACAATTCTCTTTGGGTGTGCGCACAGGATCCATACACCAATGAGTGAGTTACAATATCCCAGCCTACAAGTAATTGTTCTTTTTGAGACAATAACGAACTAGCATATTAAATAATTAACCCAGTCTTACCCCCTTCATACTCTATGAAGACCTAGGCTTTGCATCAGTAGAAGGAGAGTGTAGACAATATGACAAGAAAGCGATCCATTCTGTAAGTATGAAATCGTCCTTTTTCTTAACAAACTAGATTACTCACTTTTGTCTCCTCCGCCCCTCCCCCACCCCACCGGGGAAAACATACAATACCTCATCTTATATCTCTCTGTTCATTTGTAGCCCACATTTAAAAGTGCATTTAATGTTTCCTACAATCGGTCAGCAGATGCTGTTTTGTTTTTGAGTGTATATTATTTGATTTAACAACAACAGCAAACAAAAAGAAAAGTTAAAACAAAACTGAACTGAGCTTCAAGTTATATGAAGACCTGGGTATTGCGAGGGACCCGCAGCGTGACAGCACTGTTTCTAATCCTCCCAAAAATGACGACGAAGCGAGCTGAGTGGGCCCACACAAGGGAATTTACTACCTGAGTGATGTCACAGCTGCGACCTCTAGTACTATTACAACCATATTTAATGTCTACTTTGTTACGCAAATATTTCTACTTTGCTATTTTTGTGTTTACTTTCTTACATAACCATCTACCTTTTTACACGCGTCTACTTTCGTATGTTGTTATATAAGTGTCTATTTTCGTACGTTGTTATATAAGTGTCTATTTTCGTACGTTGTTATATAAGTGTCTACTTTCGTACGTTGTTACATAAGTGTCTACTTTCGTACGTTGTTACATAAAAGTGTCTACTTTCGTATGTTGTTACATAAAAGTGTCTACTTTCGTATGTTGTTACATAAAAAAGTGTCTACTTTCGTACGTTGTTACATAAAAGTGTCTACTTTCGTACGTTGTTACATATGTGTCTATTTTGTTACGCAAGGGTCCACCTTTTTACATACGTGTCTACTTTGTTACGCAGATATCTACTTTGTAACATAAGTGTCTACTTTCTTACGTAGCTTCTACTCTCTTACCCGCGTCTATTTTCGTACGTTGTGACACATAATAAGCCTTAAAGTGATACCAATAACCCTATAACAAATCTAGAAGTTGACGAGCGCTGATTCCACCGTGTCGTGAAACATATCTCGATTTTTTGTGAAATACTTTCAGTTCGTCTTGGGCAAGCGAACGAACACACAGTGTGCCATCGAGTGTATCAAATCCTCGCGCTGTCGTTCCTTCAACTTCAATGTGGTGAGCACACGCTGCGAGCTCAACGACGGGACGCATGCCGAGTTCCCAGACGACCTGATTGACGAACAGGATATGTCGGAGTACCACACGCACAGCGCCTACTCCATCGCTCAGGTAAATCAATCAACAACAATTATTGTTTTGTTCTATAATTTGTTTTGGCAAGTTTTCAACGACGGTCGCAACTGCATAAGGTCATATGAGAGCGAGTGGGACACATTAAACATGTTCAGTTAACTATAATTGTGCTAATAAGAATAAGAGTGGTCTATCTATTTCCAGTTTCGATCAAATTTGAAATATCGTTATCCTCGAAAAAAAAGCTATGTCACATGCCTTAGTCAGATGAAGATATAACGCGTTATAGTGATTTTGAATGATTTTCTTGTTGTCCAAACAGAAAACAGAGTCTTCTTACATAGTTTTCATTTTTCTGAAAAGGAATTTTCTCAAATTTACTTAGCGTTGAGTTAGACCACTTTCATTTTCATGGACACTATTGTAGGAGTAAAAAAAAAATGGGTCTAATTACGTCAACTTGAGATCGGTTTGAGAAAATGCGAAGCGCTAGTTAGACTTGATCATGATGCTCTAACGTGTTTGGGTAATTTTTAAAAAGACATGAATCAGATTTAAAACCATCAGAAGTCATGTAATTCAAATGCTGTGTTTGTAAATTTCCTCTAATGTCATGTCGTGTGGTTGTACAAAGAAATCTATTTTTGAACAAAAAATGTGACTTGGACCCTTTATTTTTCTGACTCCTATTGTAAGCGAGCTGAATTCTATCGTGTACTGAATCCATTTTCCGACTGTGTGGAGTTGTTGAGACAGCTGTAAAAGTTGTTGTTCGGGTGTGGTTGGCGGGTGCTATGGTGTGGTTTGCTCCTTCTTTAATATCAAACTTCTCTCGTCCCTTTCGTTTTTATTTGTATGTTACTCTCTAGTAACACCTCTAATCTACGACACTTACTATAGGATGACTTATATGCGCAGCAACTGCCGTACAACACTTACTAAAAGAATACCACGTGACTGGTTGGCGGGTGGTCTGGTATCGTTTGCTCTTTCCTTCCTATGAAAAATCCATTGTCATGGTCTCTCCACTTTTTTATATTTGTTTCTCTCTTGTTAAATCTCTAATAGTCCTCACTTATATGACCTTATAGTGTTGCAAGTGCCGTAAAACTCTTACTAAAACCTAAACCAAAAGGCTGTTGAAAAATCTTCCTTGAAGGCCAAAGTTATTCAAGGCCTACATTCCTTAGAATTTTTGTTTCATTTCTTTTTTGTGACTAGCATTCAGTGCCTTCACAGTGATTTACATTAAAATGGACACCATAGAGTCAGATGTATGTATGTGTGTGTATATATGTGTGTATGTGAGTGTATGTCTGTGTGTATGTCTGTGTGCATGTCTGTGTGTATGTCTGTGTGTATGTCTGTGTGTATGTCTGTGTGTATATATGGGTGTGTGTGTGTGTGTGTGTGAGTGAGAGAGAGAGAGAGTGTGTGTGTTTGTGTGTGTGTGTGTGTGTGTGTGTGTGAGTATGTGTGAGTGTATGTGTGTGTGAGAGTGAGTGTGTATGTGTGAGTGTATGTGTGTGTGTGTGTGTGAGTGAGTGTGTATGTGTATGAGAGAGAAAAATGGAATAGAAACTAAAGTAGAATATCTTCCAGAACTGTACAGTAATATGTTTATTTCAACCTGAGACGGATACGCAAAAAAGCCACAGGTGCTAAGGATAAGTACCCTTTCTCATCAACATACAACGATGAACAAAATATTACTCAAAACGGCAAATCAGGATTGTCATATTTCAAACCTTAAAAGCTCAAAGTAAACAGAATCAAATGTTACCCCCCCCCCCTTTCCCT